TGGGATGGGATGGGATAGGATTCTTTATTGGCCAAGTGTGATTAGACACACAAGGAATTTGTCTTGGTGCAAATGCACTCAGTGTACATAAAAGTAAAGATACATTTGTCAAGAGTCATAAGGTACAACACTTAATGATAGTCATAGGGTATATAGTAAATAGAATATAGTCATAGGGTACAATAAGCAATCAAATCATACTAGGAAACATACAAATCAAAGGCAGGAAAAAGAAGGAAAGCTGGGAAGGAAGAAGAAAGAAAGAAAGAAAGAAAGAAAGAAAGAAAGAAAGAAAGAAAGGAAGGAAAGGAAGGAAGGAAGGAAGGAAGGAAGGAAGGAAGGAAGGGATATTATCATGAGAGGAGGGAGGGTCTGAGGAAAGGGTCTGCCTCAGCCCTTTGCAGGTGCTTCCCTGACATGAGTGACATCGAGCTGACCATGCTCACCCCAGCGACACCCCCCCCTCCCCGAGATAAAACACAACTCTGAAATCGAGTTTGACAACCCCTGAGCTATCGTGTTTCTAGTCCTCATTTTGGGAGATGCAAGTCGATGTTCCCCCAGGATGTGGTTGGTGAGAACAGGGCCTCCAGGAAATACCCTGTGGCAAGATGGCTGCCGGATAAAAGCGAGGACTAGAGGCCGAGAAGAGGCTTCTTTGCTTTCAGGCTATCTGAAACGAGGCGGTCCTTTTCCTAATCGAGTTTTATATTTTTCCACCCATGGTAGCAGTGAGTTTGGGGTGGGGGGAGAATAATAGGCCAGGTGGGGGAGCTGCATCTCAACACCCTCCTTACTGGGAATCCTCCGGCTTTGGAAGGAGAATGTGTGTTGCCAAGCCTGGATTTGGTTAAGATGGTGGATTGGTTTACACCTGGGTTATTCATGTGAATCCAGTTCAGCTCCCAAGTGTGTCAAACAAGAGGGGGTTAAATTGGTTGCTTGCTGATGAAATTAACCCCCTGATTATTTCTTGTTCCAGGACGTGATTTTTCTTGGAAGCCATTTTTTGACTTGGAAGCCGCCACCTTAAGTGCCTGGGAGTTTCATACGGATTCATACCAGTGGTGGGATTCTACCAGCTTCCCTACCGGTTTGGGAACCGCGCACTTTGCGTGTGTGTGGGTGTGTGTGCAGATTTCCAAGCACCAGCTGAGGCTCTGCCGCGCCAATCAACTGAGAGGATCAAGAAAAGCGCAGGGAGCGGGTGAAAAGCGCCAATCCTGCGCTCTTCTCTTCTTTTGCCTCGGAGCTTTTGGGCCGAACCGGTAGCATTTCACCACGGATTTAATCCCCGGATATAAACCAATCCACCATCTAGCCAGATTCAGGCTTGACATGTGCATTTCTACCAACAGGAAGGCAGGCTCTGTGTTATGGCCACCTTTCCTGAAATAACAAATAAAAGAGATTAACGTGGACGATATATATGCCTTTAAAGAAACCCTGTCAAGCAAAGAGTGTTTCTCAACCTCGGCTACTTTTAAGATGGGTAGACTTCAACTCCCAGAATTCCCCAGCGTGTAAGGTTTAAACCAGGGCTGTGTTGTGGTTCGCCGGCAGCCTGTGCAGACGGCAGCAGAGTCGGACAGTGGGGAAGAACGGGAACCTGTCTGGGAGTCTGGGGAGGACTCAGACCAGGGTCCTGCGTCCGATACAGAGATGGGGCCAGGGCCACCTGGGAGTGGGGTGCTGACTCCGGAGCCTGGCAGCAGCAAGGCCGAGGAGTAAGGGGAGCCTGTTCCCAGTGTGCGTGTGCGCAGAGCTGCTAGAAGGCGAGAGCAGCTGAGACAAAAGGGGCAACTCGGGAGTAAGGCTTGGAGGTGATTGGACCTCCCATAAGACATAAAGGAGGAGCAAAGGGACAGGAGCCTTTGCAGGAAGCAACTTTGTTCATACTGGTTAGTTTGAAACCTGAAGCTCTGTGTGGACTTTGTACTTCGGTTGGCTTTTTACAGTTCATTTGGCACTCTAGTTGTTGGCAGCCATTCAAAGGAGAGAAAGGTGGGTGCTTATCTCGAGGGACTGTTTGGGACTCATTTACGGGCTGGGAATGAACATAATGCCCAGCGTTGAAATAAGAGTTGTTTTAACTAAACGTGTGCTTAATTACAGTCTCAGGAAGCCTTGGTCAGAACAGGTTGGAGTGGGGGTGGGGGCAGATTTTCTTCGGCTTACCTGCCGCCGGCTGAGAAGTATCTGCGCCATGTGTTTTCCCACCTCAGTGGAGCGATGGAGACACACACCCCAGGGGTTGTCGATCACACCAGCCACCGCCAGCAGCGAAGCAGGCCAGGTGAGGGCCGTCACAATCCCTGGGAGGAGGCAGAGCCAACGGGAGGGGTGAAAAAAAAAATCCAGAGAAACGCCTGGGGGAGCCCGGCGTAGCCTTGTGAAGCTGTGTGATTTCAGCTGCCATCATCCCCAAGGGACTAAGCCCACTTGGGGGTGAGAATGGGAGGCAAAGAGCCACTGTGTCCACTTAGCAACGGAGATGTAAAGGGAGAACCGGGTTCATCCTTGAACAGGAGAAGAAAGAGATGGTTCCTCTATGTCTAGTTTAATGAAAAGAAGCCATATGGGATGACCCAAAGGGGCGTGGCACAAAAGCACAAAAGTAGGTAAAGTCCCTTTAATTGCCTCCAACTTGGGCCCCAATGTCCAGTTATCATCGGCTGGAGAAAAAACTCTCCCAAGAACAGTTGTTTAAAGGGAAGAAATTCAGTCCGAACCCAAAGAACATATAAATTATAAATAAAAACCAACACAAACCACTGGCTGCAGCAATTAACGAGACAGGGCAGGATAAGGAATTGCAGAATTCAAAAGATAACGAAACACACACAGTTGGGAGGACGCCAGAACCCAGATAAGACGTGACAAAGATAATTCACGCTTTGCTTCCAGCAAGGAGCTGTGCGCAAACACCCTCTTTATCCTGTTTTCCCAGCTGCAGTTAATGAAGGGAGTCAGGGCCTTTTTCTCCCCTGTAACCCATGTTGCTCCCTTATCCATTCCTCCCTGTGTGCTCTAGGATGAAGAGGGGATGGGCCTGGGTCTTCTCTGAATGCCCAGCCGGACTATGCCCTTCCCCAGTTTCCTCCACAGCCACCAGAGCCACACTCCCACTCCCTGTTCGCTGTTTGACCTCCCCCTCGGAATCAGATTCCAACAGGGGCATGATACCATGATCCAATATCTGAGGGGCTGCCCCAAAGAAGAGGGAGTCAAGCTATTCTCCAAAGCACCTGAGGGAAGGACAAGAAGCAATGGGTGGAAACTAATCAAGGAGAGAAGCAACTTAGAACTAAGGAGAAACTTCCTGACAGGGAGAACAATTAACCAGTGGAACAACTTTCCTCCAGAAGCTGTGAATGCTCCAACACTGGAAGTTTTTAACAAGAGATTGGATAACCATTTGTCTGGAGTGCTGTAGGCTAAGCAGGGGGTTGGACTAGAAGACCTCCAAGGTCTCATCCAACTGTGTTGTTCTATTCTGTTTTTTGGAGATGTCACGAAAACTATCCAGGCAGGCTGGTGAAGTCATAGAACATAGGACAGAGTCGGAAGGGACTTTGGAGGTCTTCTAGTCCAACCCCCTGCTTGGGCCAGAGACCCTAATTTACCATTTCAGCAGGGGTGGGCTTTAAATTTTTACCAAGGGGTTCTCTCCCTGGTTGCTGGGTGGGTGTGGCCATGGTGGGCGTGGCCTAGTAAGCCGCCTGCACCATGACATGCGGAGGGGGGGGGCGTTTTTGCTTTCCCCAGACTCCTGAGGCTTTCCTCGAGACTCCCGGAGGATGAAAACAGCCTCCCCGGACTCCGGAGGCTCTCTGGAAGCTGGAAACGGGCCCATTTCCAGCCTTCCCAAACTTCCAGGAGGCCTGTTTTTCACCCTCCCTGAGCCTCCACACACACCCTGCACTTACCTGCATCCAAAACGGGCCACGTAGGGACTCCTGGGAGGGGCAGGGTGGGTGGGAGTGGGATTTGGGGGTTGTCTGAACTGCACAGAATCTTAGCTAGGGGCTCTCCTGAACTCCTGCGAACCCCCAGGAGCCCACCCCTGCGTTTCAGCCAAGACCCCCCAAGCGGAGCTCAGCTTAAAAAGAGCCACGCTGGTTTTTCCACCCCAAAACAAGGCCTCCCTCAGCCCCTCACTC